TGTTTGCCCGTGCTCGATTGGATTCCGCCAGTCGCGTGTACCAAGGCAGTTAACATATGGTGGAACCTGAAGTCGTCAAAGACTCTTTGGACCTCGATTTTCCAGGGTCATGCCAGCATCGGCGGCCAGCGCGCTATACAGCACTAGAAGGCTGTGGGCCGTGCATTCGAATCCAAGCAGCTCCCAAAGAGTCCAAGCATCGAAGTTACAAGGCACAGGTGAGCAGAAGGAAGGCAACAACCGTGCAAGATGACCGATCGGCATGGAAGCTCTCCGCTGAGCTCTTGGGCCAAGTCTCGTCACAATGCAGTGTGGTGCTGCCCAGCTGGGAGACTCGCCCGAAGGTGCAGTGTCGGTTTTCCAGCGCCCGTTCGGGCAAGAATGCGCTCACTCAAAAGGGCTCCACAATCAGCATTTCCCGGCTCCCATACTCTCGCTACTCTGTTTACTCGTCTGTATTTAGACGATTTCGAAGTCCGGTGCCATGGAGTTCCTCGTGGCTGTAGGCCAAGTTTCACTGTATGTTAGTGACGAGCTAGCCAGTTTCAGGTTGCTGCCCGCTTGCTTCTGCAAGGAAAAGCCCTGCTGCAGTTCGATTTGCGTAGCTGGAGATCCTCTGTCCAAGAACTACTGGAAGTAGGCGTGAGGCAATGTCCTCCTTGCGAGCTAAGCAGCACTTCACTTCGTTCTTGCAATGCCTGATGCTGGTAGCTTGTGAGAGAAATGCTGTGCCTGGTGTGGGCAGCTTTTTGGCCATATTGAACATGGGCTGGTGACTCCTCGGCGATGCTACCGAATTTGCCATTCGTTGTCGACGCCCCGTCATGCTTTGAGAAATTCCAACTCGCCGTGAATCCTCGCAGAAACACTGGCAGCATGCTGCACGCCAGGTGAAAGACGCCCGCGACGAAGGCCATCCCCGTTGACACCTGGCTTCCGGAAGCGGGACTTGCCGTCGCAGGCGACGACTGCGGTCAGGCGGCCGCCGCTGCTGCGGCAGCAACAGCGGCTGTTCTCGAGGCCAAGATCCCCACGAACATCGCCGGCACGAACAATTTGCTTTTCTGAGATCAAACATGCAGGAGTATCTTGAACATGTCTTGAGCGCATCAGTTCCCTATTCGCGATTGACGAAAAGGCGTACAGGCGCCACAAGAGCAGGAATCTTGTGTCTGGCCTTACCTGAAATGCATATGGAATCGACACAGGGCAGGAATCCGAACTGAAGTGCACCTATTCCCAGAGCTTCCGTCCTTGCCGAACCTCTGCCTGACCGTGACAGTGTTCAAGGATGTCTTGCGAAGTTCTGTCAGGATGACGATCCCTGGATTGTGGTGCTGCACTTATGTCCGGATGACACAGGTAGGGCCAGGGCAGTCTTGGAAGAATTGAAACGGGTGGCCCAGGTGAACGAAGAATTGACTTCAGCTTCCTTCGAGACCCCCTCGCAGCTGCCCCGGAATATCCTGGGCAGCCAAAGTGCGACAAGAACGCTGGAATACGTGTGGGACTTCTTGGAGTTTCTTGGAGCTGATGTCGACATGATGTCCACATGATGGCAATGTCACGGCAGTGATTCAAAGCTTGATCCGAACGGCGCACAGCAGACGCAGTGCAGCACTGAGCGACATGGGGAGTGCCAGCAAAAGGGGTATTTGTTTTTGGCCTTCTTTTTGGTGCTGGGGGGAGGGCGGGGTGCGTAGGCAATTGGAGTATACAGCTTCATCAGTCAGTTCATGCATGTCTCTTGACAAGATAGCTCTCAGAACCTACCCTAAAGGCTCTGAACTCCTCTACATCCCCTTACGGTTCAGGTGGCTTAGTACATTGGGTTAAGTCATGAGTGCTTTGCTTCGGGTTCTAACCTTATACGTCCACTAGACAAGTGTCACAACTCTTGCCGTACTTTTGGGCTTTGAAGCAATATACAGCTAATGTGGAAAACCGAACTCTAGTGCATGCATCAACATATTATCTTACATGACATTGTAGTATTTTGCATCATACTGGATAAAATTCTATTCTATTCTACAATATACCGTGACTGGCAATCGGGAACCGCTAGTTCAAACCAGCCACTTCACGAAATGCATTCTACATAACACTACGTCTGTTCAAGTGGCATGCACATCTTGCCCTACTTGAAAAGCGCACGACTGTTCAGGGGTTGTGCCACTTCGGGGTTGAGAGCCACTTGTGCTAGGGTTTCGGGTTTAGGATTTAGGGTCTTGGGTTTAGGGTGATAGGGCCCCGAGCTGTGTGTGCTATTGTGCAGTAGGCTCAGGGCTGCGACTGCTTGAGTTGGCCGCACGGGAGCAGACCCACCCACACCAAATCTAATTCCGTTTCTTTCTCTCCCCTAGTGTTGGTTGCGCTGTTAAAACATGTTACAATATATTTGTATATTGTATGATATTCTATCATAATGTAAGTGTAATATTTTGCCGTACATTGTATTACATTGTATTACATTACAATGGGTTGTATTGTGTTGTGTTATGTTATGCTATGTTATGTTATGTTATATGTTATCTTATGTGTTGTGTTATTTTATACTATATGTGTATACATATATACACATATGTCTTTTGCGTGTATATTATTATATGTATATATATATACACGTGTTCATTTTTCTCCATCCTTTACTGTTTCGTTCTGTTCCGGTCTATTCCATGCTATTTGACTCTATTCTCATGATATTTCTACATTATAGTACCATATCATATTAAATCGTTGAAATCATATTATGCTATATCATAGCATGTTCATAAATGATATTCTGTTACATTCTGTCAGACTATGCATATTACGTTATAGCTCATGTTGTCCACATCAGATCATGCATGTTTAACTCCCGTCATGATATCATGCTACTCTACTATGCTAGATGATACGGATTTTGCCGTGTGGGCGAGAGTTCAGTTTTCCAATGGTATTTTGCTTCGAAGCCCAAAGGTACGTAAAGATTTGGCACTGGTTGGATGAATGTATAAGATTAGAACCCTAAGCAAAGCACCAGTGTACTAAGTCCCCTATCCGTGAAGGGATGTAAAGGAGTTGAGGGCCTGCAGGGTAATTAGGTTTGGGGAGCTGTCTTGTCGAGAGACGTGAATGAACTAAGTGATGGTATTGCCTTCGCCGGCCACGCTCAGTACTCAGGATCTCCAGCCCCGCCCTCCCCCCAATGCCAAAACAAAGGCAACGCAGAAAACATCTCCGCCCGGGACAGGATGTTCCGTAACGGGCCAAAGTCGTGGCAACGATTATCCTGAATGTGCAAGTGATACCGGGCAAAAGCACAGCGACGGTGCAGTGACGCGTGTATGTGTGTGTGTGTGTGTGCGTACAGGCCTGTACATGGTGACCATTGAGTGAGACCACAATTTTCGCTGCAGGGGGGCACGGCATCGGATTCCAGACCGTGCCTAACAAAGCTACGGAATCGGGCGGGAAGCTAGGGCTGATCACCTGCATGCACCTGCATGCAGGCCGGCCAAAACCACCCCAAAAATGCTGTTGTTCTGGCGGATGGGGGACATCTTGTCTCTACGGAGCGATCATTGTTGGATTTTTGCGTTATAAATACAACGGGCAAAGGTGCCTATGCCACCCAGAGTCCTCTGCCAACGAAGCTACAGGATGTGTGGGAGGGGATACAGCGATGCCCGGTCTTCGGAGTCTTGCTGTTTCCGGCACGACACGCCAAGAACCCAGGCCGAATAGAGCCTATGTTAGCCTATATCCGAAACACAGGAATGCTACGGTCTCTATGACTACACGTGGTACGCAGCAAACCACGTGACCCACGCAAGCAAGGGGCGGCAGCCTGGTTGCTTGAGCTTTCCAGGGCATGTAGCGGAAAGATTGAAAAAGGGGGTGCATGGAGAAAAGAAACGGTGAAGACTCTATTATTATTATTATTATTCATAATACTAGTAATTATTACTATTATTATTATTAATAATAATAACAATTATTATTATTATTACAGTTCTTCCCTCGCTTGCTAAGGCCGCCTCTGGAGCCAGCAGAGCCCAGAGCTAAGCGGATTCAGGTCTCAACGCTTTGGCAAAGCGCTAAAGAACTCGAGGTCTCCTAGCAGCCCTTCACTGTCGCCATTCTACGGCCACTTCGCTCAGTCTTGATGTTCGCCCTGTCTGTCGCATACTTGAGGCTGCACGGATAATTGTTAGCAGGGTTTTGGCCTAGCATTACAAGTAAGGTTGCCAGAGACCTCCACTCCCGTTTTTTGGTACGTACAGTTACAGCCCTGCTCAACCACTGTCTTTAGACTCTGGCTGGACTTCAGGTACAGCAAGCATCCGCTTTGAGACTACTTAGGGTGCGTTTGGTGCTTGCCGTGTGGTGAGGCCATCTCAGCTCCTTTGAGTTCAGGGACCTCAGCGCAGAGGAGGCATGGTGTGCCGTGAAATTCGAACTCGCTTCGGTCTGTCCCGGTCCGCACCTGCTGCCATAATGGTACGATCGCCCGTTCCACTGCATGAATGCAGTAGCGACCCGGTGCGTCATTTGGCTCAGATGCTAGTGACACGCTCTGGTTGTCCATGCTAGACTCAGATTCTAAACTTGCGAGCTCCTGTGGTAAGCCTTTCAACATCAGCCGTCTCATCACCGATCTTGATTGAGCTTTACCCGCAACACTGCCAGCTGCAATTCGGCCATCTAGGCACTGATCGCATCAACGACCCTCGCAAAAGATGCCAGGGTAGATCAACACCTAAACATGTGTGCCAGTCGCTGTTGTATCGATCCTCCCCACCTTGCGAAGGTTGCATCAAAGGGGTTCACAATCAGAACAGCACAAGCGCAGGCTTCTAGGCCCTTCCTAGACACCGGCTGCTCCACTCCGGGATGCCGCTCTGAGCCGACCTGCTCGGTCGGTGCAGGCTTCGGAAGATTCGGCTCTCCACATCCGAGTCCGAGTGCGCACCCGCACCTGTCGGGTCTTCCAGAACCGGGCAGGCGATGGCACTCGGATGTTCTCCGGACCGCAGAAGCAGGTCCTGCGAACTGGCGATCGCGTACGCCGAGATCCCAGCCTTGCTGAAAAGAGTTGTGCCCTTTGATTGTGCTGGCGCCCTGCGAGGTGCGAACTTCCAGAACCGCTATGGCTCGAAGAGCTCAGGTTCCAAGTTTCGCACGAGTTTGACAGAGTCAGCAAGCGCCCGACCTGCCCAGCTACCGACGTGGGCACGCTGCTCCAGTTTACTACATCGGAGGTGGAGGCCCGAACTTGTCACCTTGGTGTGTATATATATATATATACA